GTCACATATACAGCTTTGAGGCTACAGAGAGGAGTGCCTACATACCCTCAGCAGGAAGTGCATGGCTACTTTTCATAAAGAATTCCAAACAAAAGCCAGAATTTCTAGGGTCCTGTTAAGGCCCAATTAACATTTACTTATGACACAATAACATAGCCTTTTTGAGTTTAGCTCTTCTAGTCTTCTCAGTGTCAGGTCTCCCTGCGATTGTTCCTAAAGTGCATGCAGAAAAAAAACCCCAAAAACATACGCACTGTATCTTTTTCATACATGTACAATTACCTGTGCGATTTCCCTTGAAAGACCCTGCAAGTATAGAACAATACCTGTTGATCTGTCAAATACACGCAGTTCCTAATTTCCTATTGTAGGCTTACAACACACAGCAATTTTGTGGACTTGGTGGTCTCAGCAACTTGGTTTCAATCTATCCCAGTCTTCATCTTCAAAGGGATACAGAGGAGAAGGATTAGAAACCCTGTCAGTTTGTATTGCTAATAAAGAGGTAATATAGTTTAAACCATAGAAATATGCCACCTCACTAAGTCAGTGCACTCCCTGCAGCAGATGTATAAATACAAAAGAAAAAAGGTGACTAATACCGGTCAAACGAAAGCTGCTTTCATTGGATACGCATGGTGTATCAAAAACAACCAAGTTAAATTAAGTAAAAACAAAATATCTTTCTACAAGTCAAATACTGAATAAAAAAGGAGAAAAAAAAAAAAATCACACACATATATAAATACCCTTCTTCCACCAATAAAAAATACAACATTGTCTTTATTGGGGGAGAAGGGCATTTATATATGTGTGTGATTTTATATACTATTTTCATTCAATATCTGACATTTAGAAATATATTTTGTATTTACTTAAAGTATAATTAAAAGGAAAAACTTTTTTTCTTTTAGTTGTGGATTGTGTGGAGAGGTATTAAAATACCTATCAGGTTTTCACTGCTTTCCGTCCCCATTAGGGAGATTCGCCCTCTCTATTTGTCCTGTTTATCATTATCACTGAAAGTGAGATGAAAAGGAAATTCCACATTATGGGTTGTCCCCAGAAAGGTAATAAAGGGGACATGTTCCAATGGGGACACAGATGGCAAAAAAAAACAAACAAAAAAACTGATAGGGGTTATAACTCTCCATTACTCTACCCATTATGAAAAAGAAAGTTTGCCTTTAGTTACACTGTCAAGCAGCCTTTTTTCACCTTTTCAACACAGAAATACTAGAAATTATATTCCAGTCTCAGGAACCTCCTACTAAAAAATGACTATACAACTCATGATACATTAGTGTGATAGTGAGAAGAATGCTCCTTACACTTATCTAAAAAGATCAATGGTGTCGGTGGGAATAGATCTTGAAAAACAATTGTGAAAAAGTAAAGTATCCCCACTACATATAAGACATATGTGTTCTAACAAGGGATTAGACCATTGTGATATCTATTATGTTTGGAGTGATTGGGAAGTTTGTTTTTGCAGAAAATGATGTAAATGCTTGTATATACACAAAAAAGTCTCTATAAATAAGGTAACATGACAGGAAAAAATAAGTATATTTTACTACATGTAATGGGGTGCATTTACTAAAGGCATAAGTGCAAATTCAGATGTTCCAGAGCTTAGTAAATGAGGGGGAGCTCTTCTGACTTCCATCATCCAATCATGCGCAAACAAAAATACTGTTTATATTTCCTTGCATGTGATTGGGTATTCTTTGCAAAGAAAAGCTTTGCCTCATGCACTAAGCTCTGGAGCAACTTGAACATTGCAGTCTATTTGCCTTAAAGTAGAACTATAGGCAAAACGTTTTTCAATTTTGGATAGCGTAAGGGAGGGTTATAACCCCTGTAAGTTTTATTTTATTTATTTTTTTTGCCATCTGTGTCCCCATTTGAAGATATACCCTCAATAACGTTTCTAGGGGATAACCCAAAATGTGTGATTTTATTTTACCTTCACTTTCAGTGATAATCGGTAAACATGACAAATAGAGAGGGTGACTCTAATTGGGGCACAGACAACAATAAAATCCTGGCAGGTGTTCTAATCCACCTCCACTCTATACAAAACTAAAAAATGTTAACTTTAGTAATTCAACCCCAATGATTTACATATTTCACAGGAGACTCCGCCCACCATGTGACGTCCAGCGGAATGACACCGCGGTTGATTTGAATCAGTGCACTGCCTTTATGAACCTTATCTATGTAAGTTTTGCAATGTTTTATTGAATAAATCTTTCAGTTTTAACTGGTTGCACTATGAAGTCTCTTCTGTTCTAATCCTTCCCTACATTGTGTGGAGAGTGGTTTGATTTGAGGAATTTGTCTGGGTGAGCCCGCAGCTGTCCATCCATCTCCCTCGATACTGTTAGCACGGGTGTCAGTGTGGAATCTGGACACCATCTGCTTGTTTGATCTCTTGATTGGGGATAAAATTGGTTCAGTAAGAGGCTGATTTGTTTGGTGTGGTGAGCACTTGTGGACACCATAGCACTTTGTTGGAGATTATATTCAGCACGCAGCACTTTCACATTGGATTTGGGACATATTGAGTATTTATATCATGGAGATTTATTTATAGCACCTTATATGTATTTTTTACACATTAGCATATGTGAATTTATGGTTCATTTTTAGTCTATTTTGTCAGGTTCAATTAGTCTACAGCGCAGTCATTTTTTATGGAGCGTATACACCTGGTAACCTCTTCCCAAAAGGATTGAATGACAGGACAATTCCAGAAAACATGTAGAAATGTTGTCAGGTCCTCTGGACAACACCAGCATTTTAAATTGAATTAAAAGGTCTAGGGGAGAGACCATTTGCTGTATACGGTACTCCCATACATCCTCCCAGACTTCAGAGTCCATCCCCAGTACCTCCCCATGCCAGCAAGACAGCAATTTATCAAGACCTTCATGAACAGAGGGTTGAAGGGCTTTATATATAGTGGAAAGTAATTTAGCCAGAGGTACCTCATGCAGTAAGGACTCTATCCCTAGTACTTCAAAGTAAATCGATTGGCGCAGTTAGAGGTACTGGAACAAGTAAGAGTTAGGGAGGACATATTGCATCTTTAAGGAATCAAAGGTTTTAAGAGCACCACCTTCACAAACCTGATTAAGGTAGTTAATTCCCTTTGAGGCCCTGATATTAGGCCCTGTGAAGAGAAACTATTTAGTGAAAGAGGGGTTTAACCATAAAGGCGTCTGTCAATTAACTTAAATGCCTTTTCATGCGGTATTAAACGAATGCTTTACAGTAAATACAGCAAAACGGTATAGTGACTTGACAGTTTCAGGATCGCATGCGATATTTAGGGAAAGTGTCTCCGGACACCTAAATACCACATGCGAGTTCCTTTTGTGAATGAAGCCCATTATAACAGAACACTTTCAATAGTATACTTGATAGACCAAAAGGAAGCAAAAACAGATAATTTAATTGCAAGAGTTTACACACAATTTAACTCTTAGCTTTTGTATGTTCCAGCTCCTCCCATCAAATAACAGGGATGGTCAAATCCCTTATAGTTGAGTTTATTGAAAGACTCCTGACAAAAGGACATCATGAAAAAAGCCAAAAAAGCATACTCTCTACAGCTCAATTTCTCACCTCCACAAAGGCGTCTGTCAGGTCACTCGCCCTGTCCATCACTGGCAAATGGCGCCCAGCCACAATCTTCACCTTCAGTTTCCCCGGCATTCTTCACACAGGTCCTTCTAGAAGGGATAAAATAAATGTCACTAACAAAATACAAAGTGGAAGCCCAGCCCACGCCTAACGAAGTTTAAATCTGCTCCCACCCCCTTCTAAACCCTATTTCATCTATCCTGTGAAAGGAAGATGTGTATACTTACCTATTCTTAGAGGGATCTGGTCTGGTCACATGATCAACTGTCAGTGGAGGCTTCAGCATAGAGGAGAGAAATCCGACAATGGATGCCCCATCATAAGCCTATATGTGATGTACGTGCCCAGGCACTGCAGCCTTTGTCGGTGATCTGTCCTCTTCACTGAAACTGCCCGCTGGGGAGATCCTGTGACCAGACTGGATTGCTCTCATAACAGATAAGTATGGACATCTTCCTTTTACAGGGTAGATAGAACAGGGTTTAGAAGGAAAGGGGGGTGGGAGCAGGCATACGCTTAGTTAAGAATCAGCTAGACTTCCATTTACAAGGTCTTTGTTGAAAGCATACGTTTGACATCAGTGTAAGACACACCTGAGATTATTCAGAATTCATTGTAAATTGCAGTTGACCTCCATTTGACCTGTGTCATGTGAGTTTTGCATTCCCATAGAATTCCCATAAAACAAGGCCTAAACAGGAAGTCTATGGGGCTTCTCATAGACACAGGTCCTTAAAACTATGTATCAAGACCTAATCCCTGATCCAACTATAAGAAGTTTAATGGTCAAGCTGGGAATAGACTTTTGTAGGGTGCACCAGGGGTCACACTGGGGGATTCCAAAATGAACAATTGTTACCGTATTTTTCGTTCCATAAGCCGCACTTTTTTTCCCCCAAAAAAAGGGGGGAAAATGTCAGTGTGTCTTATGGAGCGAATATGGAACGGTCGGTCTGGTATTTCCGCTGCCACCACCATGTCGGAATACTGGGCCGGCCGCTCGTCTCTTCTCTACAGCAGAAACTTACCTGTTCCTCGGTCCAGCGCTGTACAGTCTTCCGGCGCCAGCACCTCTAGTGCTGTGACAGCCGAGTACCCACTGAGCATGCGCGAGAAGCGCTGCACTTTGTGAATGGTACGGCGTCTTCTGGGACACATGACAGATCCCAGAAGACTCCAGACTGTGTACAGTCTCTTGGTCGTCCCCTGTACTTTCTGCAGTCTCTTGGTCGTCCCCTGTACTTTCTGCAGTCTCTTGGTCATGCCCAGTACTGTCTGCAGTCTCTCTTGTCATGCCCAGTACTGTCTGCAGTCTCTTGGTCATGCCCAGTACTGTCTGCAGTCTCTTGGTCATGCCCAGTACTGTCTGCAGTCTCTTGGTCATCCCCTGTACTGTCTGCAGTCTCTTGGTCATCCCCTGTACTGTCTGCAGTCTCTTGGTCATCCCCTGTACTGTCTGCAGTCTCTTGGTCATCCCCTGTACTGTCTGCAGTCTCTTGGTTATCTCCTGTACTGTCCGCAGTATCTTTGTCATCCCCTGTACTGTGTCCGAAGTCTCTGGTCATCCCCTGTACTGTCCGCAATCCCTGGTCATCCCCTGTACTGTCCGCAGTCTCTTGGTCATCCCCTGTACTGTCCACAGTCTCTTGGTCATCTCTGTACTGTACCCGCAGTGTCTTGGTCATCCCCCGTACTGTGTCCGCAGTGTCTTGGTCATCCCTGTACTGTGTCCGCAGTGTCTTGGTCATCCCCTGTACTGTGTCCGCAGTGTCTTGGTCATCCCCTGTACTGGATCTGCAGTGTCTTGGTCATCCCCCGTACTGTGTCCGCAGTGTCGTAGTCATTACCTGTACTGTGTCCGCAGTCTCTGGTCATCTCCTGTACTGTGTCCGCAGTCTCTGGTCATCTCCTGTACTGTGTCTGCAGTCTCTGGTCATCTCCTGTACTGTGTCTGCAGTCTCTGGTCATCTCCTGTACTGTGTCTGCAGTCTCTGGTCATCTCCTGTACTGTGTCTGCAATTTCTTATCATCTCCTGTACTGTGTCTGCAGTCTCTGATCATTTCCTGTACTATGTCTGCAGTCCATTGGTTCAGAATATTTTTTTTTTCTTGTTTTCCTCCTCTAAAAACTAGGTGCGTCTTATGGAGTGATAAATATGGTATTTCTATTAACAATAAGGCAAATTTCCGGAAGCCTGGCTTAGCATGGAGATAGTAACTACAACCCCTGCAAAAACTACCAAAATTCTCCTAGCTGTCTGCCCATTTCATTTCACTAAAAGTGATCCAAAAATATTCACAAGGAGCATGATTGCTCAAAGCACAGAAATACCTGGATAACTGTATTAGTAAAAGTAGTTGTAATCATACAAAGTTATAGGCATTTTCTGAAAACTGACCACGCTAACAAAATCAGCTTCTGTGCTTTGTTTGGCTAATTTAAAGCCAGGAAGATAGGTGACTGGCAGGATCAACCAGGTACTTCAGATGGAAGAAGTACATGAACATGACAGAGACTGTAATTTATAAAATACACCTATGTGAACATACACATAGAAAAAAAATAAATATTTAGGGTAACACAAGCTTTAAGGACTGAAAAAAAAGTGTGGCCACCATTAGAGATTACAGGATCATCTGACTTCAGATTCCCTACATAAACAGGAACTTGATTGTCAGCAGATCATGTGCCTCTGTAGATAGTCCTTTGCATGTTAAAACTGGTATATTTATACAAAAATGTATAGAAACCTTCTTCCCCTTCACTAACACAGAGTGATGTGTATATAGCAAACATGAAATCTACAGGCTACGCCGATGATGTTAGGCCGTTAACCGGAACTTCCACTTGCGCCCCCTTCCTTCCCAACACTTACCTGAGTCCTACATTGATCCAATGCTGTGCCCAGGGGCGGACTGACAACTCATGGGGCCCCTGGGCAATAGGGGATCATGGGGCCCCTGTATCCTTGCCCAAACTCAAAAAAGCCTATGAAAAAGGTACCAGGGGCATCTCATGGGGCCCCCTACTGACCCCGGGCCCTCGGGCAGTGCCCGAGTTTCCAAATGGTCAGTCCGCCCCTGGCTGTGCCCATCTGCAGCTGTGTTGGTCTCTCTCCCTGCTCTCACAAGACAGACATTGGCTCCTGCTACTATCAATCAAATCTAGTTAGGAGGGAGCAGGGGGCGAGGCAGAGCCATGCCGTGGGCATCTATGGACGCTTGCTATGGGGCGCACACACACAGAAGAGGAGGAGTGGAGAGAGCCAGCAGGCAACTGCAGAAGTGAAGGTAAGAGACTGCTCTATACAATATCCTTGCAGAGAGCAGGTAAAAAAGAGCATTTAATATCACTTTAATGATTAGAGAAAAAAAGATTGCCAGAAGAAGAAAGTCTGGTCACATGTCCTAACAATACCACATGACATCTCCTCCTATCTCGGAGCTCTCTCTAAAACATTACAAAGCACATCCTATAGAATGCCACAGTGATCGCTTTTTGTTTTCATTCATTTTGTTTACTTTAATAAAATTAATTCTAAGCATGAAGGTAAAAAAAAAAAACCTTCATTGTGCAGCTGCCATCCCCACTCCAGCCCCCCTAATACTCACCTGAGCCCCCTCTTGATCCAGCAATGTACAAGGGAGCCTTGGCTGCCCTGGGTCTCTCTCCTAATTGGCTGAGACACAGAAGCGGGAGCCTTTGGCTCCCACTTATGTCAGTCTCAGCTAGTGAGCCAATAAGGAGAGAGCAGAATTGGGGCTGAGTTGTTGCTCTATGTGTCTTGTGAACGTATAGAACAGGGCTTGGAAGCAAACATGCATCAGTGCCCCCATAGCAAGCAGCTTGCTATTGGGAGTACTGGTCAAGGGGGAGGGGCCAGGAGTGCCAGCAGAGGACCTGAGAAGAAAGATCAGGGTTGCTCTGTGCAAAACCATTACACAGAGCAGAGAAGTATGACATGGTACTAAAAAAAAAAAAGCTGAAACATTAATATCACTTTTAGTACAACCAGCCTGTTAGAGTTTTTGCATGCAATCACTGCCAGCGGCTATAGCCACTAGCAGTATTCATTGTGTTCTGCTAGCAGAGAAGGCTCCTCGCCAGCAGAACACAACAGCTCAGCAGGAGGAACTCTCCCATCAGCACTGACTGTGTTGAAGGGGAAATCGGATGATTTTATTTCCTGTAACCCTGTGGCTGCAGGAAAGAAAATGGCTTAATGTATGGTCTGCCTTCAAGCGGAGCTCCACCCAAAAGGGGAAGTTCCACTCTAAGGACTGCTCCCCCGCTCCCCATTAAGGATTGGCACCTTTGGGTGGCAGGGGGGGAGCGGGTACCCGAATTTGACAGGTACCTGCTTCCACTTCTGGTCTGATCGCCTAGGCGATCGGAAACAGAAGGTGTCCTCCCTCCCTCTCTGTAGTCTTTTGGGACATGTGACAGGTCCCAGAAGACTACAGGACCATTCATGAAGCGCAGCGCTACTTGTGCATGCGCAATGGGTACCCGGCTGTGAAGCCACAAGTTGTCACAGCCGAGTACCCACACTGAAGATGTCGGCCTCCTAGAATACAGGACAGCTGGTGAAATGGGATGCAGGGGACACACCACGGGACCGAGGGACAGGTAAGTGACTGTTTTATAAAAGTCAGCAGCTACAGTTTTTGCAGCTGCTGACTTTTATTTTTTGACAGGGAGCATGGAACTCCGCTTTACGTCCCCTGAACTGCATTGTCTTTGTGTCATTCAGACGTATTATGATGGTTTCCACACACTGGGACTCTCCTCCATGGATGGAGCACTCTGTCCCTCCATACTCTATTGGATATCACATGGCGGTGCAGTGTGGAGCTCCACTCCCACAATGCACAGCAATATCCGCTCCGCACTATACACAGCAGCCTGTCAGTTACCGCTGAACATACCTCTCACCACCTGCACAGCTGCCACAACGACCACCATTTACTCCCCCTGCACCATGGTTGCCCTCCACTCATCAATTCAGCACCAGTCAGGGTAGTGCAATGAATGAGCTACTAAACATCCTCCCCTGTGCTCCTACATGACAGACCTGCAACAGCCTGCTGGGGGCTGCCATCTTGTGGGAGGAGCTAATGCAGAAGCCAGGTAACCTATCAGATCACTGACCAGCTCATGCCTGTACGGTGGAAGAGACTTCCAGGTGACTACCAGGTCCCTCCCCCACCCTGCACTGGTTCAAATTTCGGGTGTTCCGGATCACTCACCCTCTCAAAAGCTAGAAATTAGGTCTCCTCGTCCCCAGACATCACTCTGACTTCCTCTCTCATCTCCTCTCAGTCCGCACAACACTTCCGCTTCCGGCCGATGTCATGTGACAAGGCAGTAGTGGGCGAGAGAGGGGACAAGAGAGGAGCAATCCGAGAGCTACAGAGGAGGGGGCGGATAGAATGGAAGGGGAGGGGCTGAGCTGTATTGAGGGTCGCACAGGGGCCAGGGCTACTTCGTGTCTAGAAAGACCTGTTAGCACCAGAGGAGCTTATCCTCACCCCCCCCTTTACAGTCACACACTATTATTACTTGTATCTCTGACATGTGCTGTACACAGAACACTGAATCAGTCACATCAGCTTCTGCACCAGAAGAGCTTACACTCTAATGGCCCCCTCCCCCATAGTCACACACTATTATTACTTTTATAGCTCTGACATATACCTCAGTGCTGTACAGAGAACACTGAGCCAGTCACATCAGCCTCTGCACCAGAAGAGCTTACACTCTAATGTCCCCCAACAGTCACACTATTATTACTTATATCGCTGACATATGCCGCAGTGCTGTACAGAGAACACTGAGCCAGTCACACCAATCTCTGCACCAGAGAAGCTCACACTCTAATGCCCCCCCATAGTCACACCAGTAGCACCAGAGGAGCTTACCCTCACCCTCCACAGTCACACACTATTATTACTTGTATCTCTGACATGTACACAGAACACTGAGCCAGTCACATCAGTCTCTGCACCAGAAGAGCTTACACTCTAATGTCCCCCTCCTCTCCTCCACAGTCCTCCTTTTATTACTTATATCTCTGAAATGTACTGTACAGAGAACACTGAGCCTGTCACATCAATCTCTGCACTAGAAGAGCTTACACTCTAATGCCCCCCCACAGTCACACTCTATTATTACTTATATCGCTGGCATATGCCGCAGTGCTGTACAGAGAACACTGGGTCAGTCACACCAATCTCTGCCCCAGAGAAGCTCACACTCTAATGCCCCCCCCCACCCCATAGTCACACTATTATTATTTTTCTATAAAGGGGTTGGACAAATTATGGAACCGCCAGGTAAAAGAACGAAATCGTTACCTAATACGATGTTGGGCTTCCTTTGGCATCCAAGACGGCCTGAATTTTCCTGATAATTGCTAAATATAAGTCTTGACTACTGGGCAACGAAACTTGACCTTTGGCCCCAACTAGCTGAATTTGCCCTTGAAAGGCTGTCATGCCCGGCCAGTAGCGTGGCATCGGAGCGCGTGTTTAGTGCGGCAGGAGGTATTGTAACTCCGCGGAGGACACGACTGTCCACCCAAAGTGTGGAGAGACTCACACGTTTGTGAAAATGAATCAGGCGTGGATTAGTCTGGATTTCAAACCACCAGTTCCTGACACAACTGACTAAATCCGCCATGAATCATGCCTCAAACATGTGCCACTTTCAGGTCTCCTCACACTGCTGGTGTGTTTAATTTTTTGACATAGGGTGCTGGCAGATTACGGGCCTCCTATAGCTGCTGCCAGGCCCCTAATCTGCCATAGGCCCCTATATACCGCCTCCTCATGCTGCTGCCAGGTCCAGAGTCTCTCATGGGTCCCTGTACGGCCTCCCATTGCTGCTGTCTCCATCGCCACACTCTGCTGCCATGTGATAGGGTGCAGGCAGATTACGGGCCTCACATAGCTGCTGCCAGGCCCCTAATCTGCCATGGGCCCCTATATACCGCCTCCTCATCTGCTGCTGCTGCCAAGTCCAGAGTCTGTCATGGGTCCCTGTACGGCCTCCCATTGCTGCTGTCTCCATCGCCACACTCTGCTGCCATGTGCCACTTTCAGGTCTCTTCACACTGCTGGTGTG